CTTTGTTTTTTCTTTTATTTTCCTTCTTTGTCACTTCTGTTTTCTTGTTTGTATTTTTTTCCTTATTCCTTCCTCTCCTTTCTCATCTTCTCTAAACCTCTTGGGATTAGAGTTTCCTTATGTCTGAAATGAGAATGTTCATCCCACGTTCCCACAATTGTTCTGAGTCTCAAGTAGCAAAATTTATGAGGAGGTTAAGTATATCCAGCAACACAAAAGTGAGAGAGAGAGCAATTCAATTTTGTTCCTAATAAGAAGTAGGATTTGTCTGGAGGTTCCTCCACAGGCCTGTACTTACCACCATGCATTCTCTCAGTTCTGTTTGAACTTTCAGTTTCAAAGTGACTTCTTCATTTGCTCTTGCTCTCTGTGGTAAATCCACATCAAAATCTATCACGTTCCGACTGGTTCCCGGAAGAGAAAAACAAGGAACAGAGATCATAGACTTGTTCATGGGAAGGGCGGGAGATGGTGGGGTTGGATGAACTGCTTAGCATTAGAGCCCCAGGAATTTTTGCCTGTGGGTGGGTTTGGATATTGTGTATGGACTTAGTTTCATTTTGAAAAGCAACTGGATTCTACTTAAAATAGATCATCTTCCATTTTATTTCCATTGACAAAAAAGAACAAGTTTTTGAAAAAAGAAAAAAAAATGAAGATTCAAGTTCAATACCACATGTCATTTACTAATAACACCCTACAGGTTCTGCTGCTTATCTGCTGTGGGATGGGAGAGGGGAGTCACCCACAGGAGAAGTCAGCATAGTCACAGAATCACATCACTCCAGCAAACATCTCCATGCACTGGGTTTCTATGACTGTCCTGAAAGATCCTCCTTCTTTGTTCTGGATAGGGTCCAGCAATTAGTATTTACTTAGTTCTTTGTAACTCGAGCCCCAGGAAGTTTTAAAACTCTATAGGAAGGGATGTAAAGATTTCCTGATTAGGAAAGAAGCCCTCCCTAAGGTTTCTCTGTGGAAGGAAGGGCTTGGCTCACGAGTTTTCCAGAGCTTTGTTGAATCCCAGTTGCAGGCACAGGACCAGGAGCAGGGCAGCAGGGCCAGCCCTGAATGGCAGCTGGAGAGAGCGCATGCTGAAGGAGGCAGAAGGTGACTTCCCAGAGGAGTGGTGATCCTGGTGTCCAGCACACTTCTTATATGTAAATCAAGGAAGAGGAGGAGCTGCCAGGTAGGTCCTTGAAGTGAATCACCCAATCTTGCTCCCTACTCATGATCTTTCCTTGTTGAGCTGAACTTTGTTTGTCTTCCTTATTTTCTCAGTATCAGAGCTTCTCAGAATGGCGCTTGCCTGGCTTAAGGACATGGTTCTGTCCCTTCAGTGTCTGCAGTGAGGTGTAGCCCCGTCCCATCCCTGCTCTCTTGTTCTCTGCAGGCAGTGATCCAACTGTGCTGGCGGAGTCCAGGCCACTAATATAGAGCACATGGGCTTGAGTACTCTTCTATTAAGTTCAAGAGTAGATGTCATCCAAACAGTGTCTTGGAGTGATAGGGTGATCAGGGCTTGCTAGGGACCACCAGCACTCACATAGGATGAGAACTAGGGAAGAGGGAGACTGCTCTGGGGGATAGAAAAGTGCCACCAGATTAAGTTCAGGGAAGGGTAGGTGGGGAGTGGTCCATATAAAGATGTCTGTGATTTTTAATCCCTTCTGAATTTCAGGTGTAGTGGTAAATGCTACAGATGACCAAGATCTCAGATGCCCCAAAGTCCTCAGTGCAGGAGACTAATAAATCTTGTCATTTGATACAATTCCTGAACATTTGGCAGTTAGCATTCCCAAACAGACTGTTTGGCATCAAAGTGTCTGTTTGTTTCCACATTGACTTGGCCACTTTCTCACACTTGTCTTGTGGCATAAAACACACAGGAAGAGATAATGGAAAGGACTTCCTCCTCTGGAACAACCCATGTCAGGGGAAGCCCTGGCCAAAGTGTTCTTCCCAATGGATGATGGGGAGACTCTCTTACTGACAGTGGCACTTTGTTATTTCTCTTTAATCAATTAGATCCTTACTTTAGTCTATAATTTATGAATTGTGCTATTTGCTCCTATCCTCCACATTACAGGAGCCCAGGGATATCCTTTTGGGCACAGGAGTGAAAATCCCCATTCTAGGAGTTATCTGCATATGTTGCTACAGCTGGCATTCAGAATTGAAGTCTGAATTCCAGTTTCTGGATGTCTTTTAAAAGTTTTTCTGTCCTGCTTGCTGAGCTCCTGTGCCTCCCTCCACATTCTTGAACTGGGAATGGTTGATGTCATTCTTCATTGGTAACTGCAGCTCTTGTTATGATTGCATGCTTTCTTTGTTCCTGTTCCCTGAACTCAAGGTGGAACTTCATTACACCTTGCCCTGGTCACAGTGACCTTCCTTCATGAACATTCTTTTTTGTCTTCATTTTCTTTACACTGCATCTTCTCTTACTTGTTTGAATAATTTCCACCAGAATGACATATGTGGGCCATTAGATGTGATGCAACAAGCCACAAGTCACTATAGTCTAATTTCCTCAACTACCACCCTCACTTCCTAGGTCTGGGTGGAGAGACCTGCATCCTGCATATACTGTAGGATGGTGTTTTCTTATACATTTTACTGAGTTTAACTTATCGGAGAGTGGGCAAATCCATCATGCCAAAATCCACGTGTCCTCAGTGTGTTGTACAAGGGACATAGGGGTATCAGCATTCATGGGCTTGAGTACATTTGGAAACATGGGTGTTTCAGAAGCCAGGTAGAATCTAAATAGCTTTTCAGTTCTGTAGATAATATGAAGCAGTGTTTTAATGAGCTTTATGGCAAAAGTTGCCCATGCAATGGTTAGGGTATCCAATCTAACAGGGGACTCTTAGGGGGAAATTGTAAACTAGTCAGTGTGCAATGAACAATGGACTAGTGAATTAGATTTAGGAGACCAAATAGAGATTGAAAAATTAGGTTGTAAACAACTCAGGAGGCTTATAGAAGAGATGTGCACCAGGATAAAAGGAAAGGATTAAGGATTATGGATTAAGAAGAAACTTGTCACAGGTTCAAATTGCAAAAAGAAAGGTGATCGTAGACTTGACAGGCCTCAAGAGTGCAAGGTGAGGAATGGTCCAAAAAGGGAGTTAGGGAGTCAACACATTTGGAGGATGTGGCACATACATCACACCATTCTAAACATTTCAGATGCATTAACTCACTGATCCCCATAACAACTCTGTAAAGTAGGCTGCTATTTTTCATTCCATTTTACAAATGGGGAAACTGAGGAAAGAAGAGATAAGTGTCTAGCTTATGTCATAGAGCCAGTAACTGATGAAACCAACTTTGGAAACAGATTTTGTGATATCTGAGTATTTTTATCTGCATTCTTAGGGAACGATTTCAGAAATGGAATATAAACTTACAAATATAAAAAACAAGTTGAGGATCCTAAATAGGTGCCTGAAAGTAAGGAGCCCTTCCATTTTACATTATTAACTTAATGGTGAACACATTGATAGATGGAGCCAGGTTCAACACAGGCAGCCTAGCTCTAGAACCTGAGATTTGAACCACAACACTGTCTACAGGTGAGAACTAGGTGCAAAATTAGTAGGTGACAAAATCGTGGTTCAAAATCAAGTAGTCTGATACCAGTGTTTATGTCCTAAGAGTATTTGTCCTGTTTCTTGGTGAAAGGATGTTTTAAAGTTGAGGAAGGGAAACTCACTGAGGTTTTTATAACTTTTTAAAATTGCAGCCAACAAATAACAAAGGTGTTATTGAAATCAGATAGAAGGGACCCACAGTTGGCACTTAGAAGGCCAACTCTTCACTTCCTCTTAATGAGTGGACGCTTGAGTGCTGTAGGATTTATACAGGGGTATTGAACTTGTACTGAAGATGCAATGACTGAGGATACAATGAATTGCTTACCAGAGGAGGTCACTTTTGAGGCCAGCTGAGGTGTGTGTGTGTGTGTGTGTTTTTGTGTGTGCAACAGCAATGCTACTTGCCTTAATGGATTAATACTGAAATCTTAGTGACTTAATTCAACAGAAGTTTATTTGTAGCTCACATAAAATCTATCAGAGAGATAGGGGTGGGAATGTACCTCTGCTTAGAAACTTGTCATCATTAGTGTCATTTCTAAGGTCACTTTAGGCATTAGTATCTGGCTGTCAAAAGGTGACAGAATGGAGAACTACTGAAGGTGTTTGTATGGGCACGATTTGGAAGTGGCTCATGGCATTCATCCTGTATCCCCACATCCAAAGTCACATGTCCACACCAACCTGTGAGACTGGGAACTATAGACTCCCTGTGGCCCAGGAACAGGGAAAACTGGTTAGTGAAGTTTCTCGTTACCACCTGTGCACAGTATGTGAATAGTCATTTTTAGTAGAAAGCAATAAATTGTTTTCACCAATGTGTGACACTATATTGTGGCTTTTCTGCTGGATCTGTACTGAAATTTATTATGATTTTACTTTTAGTTTTTGTGATAATTAAAGGTATTTGCTCTTTTTTTATATTTTTATAATTTTACAATAAAATTATTAAGTTTTTATTATAAAATTATAATTTTATAATCAAAATAAATTAGATTATAAATAATTTTGTAATTAAAAT